CTACCATCAGCAGCCAGTTAGCTTAGCACAAATCAGGGAAACAACTAGCTTGACTCTGTCATGCAAACTAGTTCTTTTCGAATATATCCCAAGCTTTAGAGGTGCTGGTAGGCAGATTTTGTTACCTTTGGACAGAGTAAGCTAGCTGTTTCCCTGTTTTCAGTGTTTGTGCTAAGCTAATGGCTAACCAGCTGCTGGTTGTGGCTTCATATTTAGTGCACAAATTCAAGAGTGGTATCAATCTTCTCATCTAACTCCCAGCAAGACAAAACATAAGCATGTTTCCCAAAATGTTTAACTATTCCTTTATGAAAATGGTACTTTAAGTCATGGAAATTTTAAACCGAGATACCAGAAACTTTATGCTGCTGTGGCCATTTTAAACTCTGTGAATTATCTCACAGCTACAGGAGCACTCATCGTCTGTCAATAACTCATTAAATCTGTTTCTGGCCCATGACAAATTGATCGTGGGGAGGAGAAGCTGGTTTTCATGAAGAGGAGGGTGTGGCAAATCAGCTTTAAAATGCTTGCAACACTGTAAAGTCATGAATCAACATCAGCGGTAGCTATACAGTAACTACTGAGACTGGTCCATGTAAAATCAGATCAGATGTCGCTCGTTTTTCACACTCTACAAAGTCCTGGTCAGTTGTGATGAATGTGTGGTTTCATCCACCTGCTGGTCTGTGTAATCAAATATCTGTTTCATTGTGTTCAACAATATTTCACTTTTTGTTGTTATTTCACTGGCTGTAAGGATTTTAGATCCAGGTTCATTTTGCATGCACTGATAGCTACTGTATTGTCTGAGTCACCACCACACATGCTTGCATACTGCATTAGTTATTCATGAAATCAATTATTCTTCCATTATTTTTTACACATTCCTGCTGAATAATGTCATGGCGTCCATGCACATGATTATTCACAATCATATTTATGTGTTTGCATGTATGCAAGGCCACGCATCGAAAGAGCAAAGTAAAGGGGGAAATAAGAGTAAGTGTAATTAAATGTCAGTGATGATTAAACTACAAACTTACAGAGCCAGAGGAGGTCAGAAAGCCCTGAGATCTAAAATTCCCAACTTTTCCTTTTGGCTCAGGAAGGTTTGAATTTATTTGGCAGGGCAGAGTGAAAACATCTTGAAATAAGCTAGATAAGAAAATAAAAGAGTTTATATAATAAATGTTCTTGTTTTTATGATGCAGAGTCAAAACAGTGTTTGGCACTGTATGAACTACTGAAGAGCTGCGTCAGAAACCTCTTTCAGAAGCCATTTATACCACAGATAAGTCGTAAATGAAACAACACCTTGATGTCTTAATGATACACATGCAGACATACTGTGTGTGAATGTTTTAGTAGTGCCATGAAGTGGTAATAAATATGTTTTAGGCAAATACTTTGAAAGAAGGTGTGGGGCTTTTTGCAAATAGTTTTTCCATTGTAAAATATAAATATAGTTCTGGTGTTTCTACTTGTATTGCTCCACTTAACGTGTTATTAAACAGCATTAAATGCATCAGTAATGGCAACAGCACCCAAAGAATGACTGTCAAGAGAGCAGCATGCTGTGCTGGAGGGGTTTCCATCATCCAGCCAAAAAAAAAAAAAAAAAACGAGTGAAATGTTTACAAACAGTACAGGGGTTGCCGCAGCAACAGGTAACGATCAGCATTCGGGCCTCAAGGTTGTATGAGGTGCCATAAAACCGTCGGAGATGTTTCCTGCAAGCATTAGCGCTGCTGGACCGTAAAGCAACAAGAGAAGTGGTTTGGGAATTCTTCTGCACTGAAGTCGTCCACAGCTCAGGACACAAGTCACAACTCCTCCACAGCGGCTGAGGAGACGATCAGGCAGTCAAACTGAGATGTTTTAGCTCAGATGTATGCGTGTTGTTATTTAGGGGGTAGGATATATGACTGCAACTCACTGCTACAGGGCTTAAAGCTGTTAAAACGTCTGTTGGGTGAGAAAACAGCCTGCTGCACATTTTGTGCATCAAGGCCTCCTGTCTGTAAAATGATGCAATCCCAGGAAATCTTTGGACAGGCCAGAAACTGTAACAGTGTCAGCTTCGCACACTTCCCCCTGCAAGCATGTGTCAGAAACACAGGGATCATATTCAGTAACAGTGTAGCTCCACAGTGCATTTCTAAATCTGACTATATGGAATAAACTTGATAGGGACATCAAGAGAGGTCTTCCAGCTGGAAATGTAGCAGTGGTAATAAATATTACTTATCCGTGCAAGCATTTGTCCTAAGATACTGTACTGTGCATAGAGAATATCTGTTATTTACTGTAGTTCTCACTCCACTATCAGTTCTTGTAGGGCTAATGGAAATATACTGCTACACAATGAGCAGCAGAGGAGCATCTGTTTTTCACCAGAGGGCGCCGTGTTGCCATTAAAGTCTGAACCTTCAAACTGTACTCATGTACTTCTGTTATGTACTTTATTTAATTAAACATCCCCTCTGGACATGTTTGAAGACATCTCTCTCATGAACTAGTCCAGAATATATGAATTTGCAAATATGCACACAATCTGTCTTCTACTTACACACTTGTGTAAACTGTGGGCAAGGTTTGTCTCTCAGACTAGTTGAGATGTCATTTCGTACGTATGCTTCTTACACTCAGATTTAAGGCAAAACTGCAGATGAATTTTCTAGTGTCAAACTCCGCACATACATTATTTTGTACAGTGAAGCTCAAACATCCAACTGTAGGAGCAAGAAGATGAACATATTTCTGAGAGGAGTTTTCAGTAATGTATCAGGTGGACCAACCCATTACTTTGAAAAATCAACGTGAGGTGATTGATCTGGGACTGTGGGATTCTTTTCAGGTGCTCATTAAACTTGAATTGATCTTTCCCCCTCCTTGTGGTTAAATATTTACACAGGTTGGGGTGGAGCTCACATATTTCACAATAGCGAGAGCCGCTTTCTGTCACATTCAGGTGAGGGCAGCAGCACCACATTGTGTCTCTATGACTCCGGTTGGGGTGGTCAGACAGGCTCCTTGGCCAGCACAGGTTAGGTTTCAGAGTGCCGTGCCTCAGAAACGCTCCGTCATTGTTATTTCTGCCTTATTAAGGGATTATTGAGCTGTGTGTGAGTCCTTAGTAACACGTGGAGATATGAATTACCACTGAAAACACACAGAAACAAAGACATCTGACTAACTCAGCTGTCAGGTTGATTGCTGTACGGTAGCTTTACCTGTCTTTTATAAAAGAAGGGAAGAGCCTGCGGGGGAACCACACAGCATACCCCACCGCCAGCACCCACAGGATCGACAGCTCATCCAACATCTGGCCAACGAAACTGAGCGTCATGTGGAAGTATGCCGAGAAGAGCCCTGCGAGGAGAGAGAACCGTCTGTTTTAATGTGAAACAACTCATGTTTTCATTATATTAGAGAAGAAAAACATGGGGGGTTGAGGAGGAGAGGGAGACATATGAGGCCCAATTCAGACTCAACTCATCTCGACTCAAGACGGTTGATGTACAACTCAGCTTGTCGCCCAGCTTGTTGCGAAGTCAGTTGGTTCAGTCAGTTACAAACTGTCAGCTGGTCGAAATGTCAAGAGAGGCTCCCCTCGTCCACAGGCCTTAAAAATGTACCCATGCACAGCTCCAAATTCTCAACCCTCTCATTTTATTGAGAGTTTTCATCGTTTGATCAGTTAAATGCAACTGTTATTATATATATTAAATAATATCCAGCTACAAGAAAAACCTGAAAAATCGCTAAAAGTACAGAGGTGTTCAGAATGGCGCATCGCAAGCTAGTTTCAACTTGCTAGTCTCATTGTGAACATTTGGTCTGAACTGGCCTTTAGGGCTCAAATTCCTCCGGCTGGTCACACAGCTGGTCAACAAGATCCAGCCGCTGATACTGTGCAATCTGCAGGGGTTGCAAGAGGAGAGAGGAAACACAAATCTGTGCTCTCTCTCTCGTTATTTATGTTCTCGTTTATTCACTTAAAGCAAGGATGATTATTCTTTGCTCAGACTGGTTACAGTTGGATGATGTGGTGGTGATGATGACTTGACCTACTGATTGTTGTTAATGGTTTGGTCTGTGAAATTGTGAAAATGGAGAGTAAGAAACCCTGATAATATTCACTTTTGTGAAACTGTAACCACTGAATTCTTTCCATTTGTGTTCGAAAAATGACTTAAATAAAAAATGTATTTATTTTCTGTTCCCGCAGCTCTTGTTGGAAGTAGACCGCTTTGTTAAAGAGTCTGTTTAGTTTGTCTCGTGACCCATTTCTGTAGTAGTAGTAGTCCGACATCTTGGGGTTTTTCTTTAGTCTGTCCTTTATGCCACAATGCTGGTGTGAAACACTTCTACTCTGAAGGCGTGTAATGTTTAATCTGTGTATGCATTATGTACACTGAGTGAAAACACAGTGATTTATGCATCATGTCAAATCATAACTGAACCAACAAGTCACAAAAACAACAATTCATGATTCATGGCTTAGTGACTCACTCGCGTTAATGTAAACAGACTTTTCCTGATATTCAAACTACAGAAAGTACAAAGACAGACAGATAAATATAAACCTGAAATGTATGAATAAAGAAAAAAAAGAGTGACTGACCTACGAAAATCATCATGAACCAGACCAGGTGAATCGCCAGGTTTCTCTCTTTGGCATAAGGGTGCAGAAGGTAGAGCATGATGGGAGATATAATGAAGAAGAAGAAGCTGCTTATCTGCAGGAAAAAAAACAATGACCTAATCAGCTGGCTGACCTGCGCTTTTGTCTGCAAGCTCAGACGTTAATTTCTTATTCAAGAAAAGACAAACATGACTAAAAGTAGCTGATTATATTGTGTTTCCTGCAGGGAAGCGCTGACATAAACGCTGTAGCCTAGAGAAGAACATACAGTGTTGAAGTACTCCACTACATGTTCAGAGTGTCTGTAGTTGTCTTCACACCAGTCGATTTCTGAACTCTCGTACGAGAAAGCTCCCGCCATCTTTTCACTGGAGTAGACGCCTGTGAGACAGAGAGAGGGGGAACAATAGGTCACATCAAGAGCACACCTGCAGCATGTCAGTTGTTCCCACAGCAGATAAAATATATGTTTATCCCTGGACGCCTGGCAGAGTATTTGTATAGGTGGTTTATGGAAATCAGCTTCCACTCCCCTCTGAGTTGTAATTAGATTTGTATTCAAATGTGGCTTTGCACATTTTTCAGAACCTTCACAACAGTCATTTAATGTATTAAAATGAGTGTGAGAAAGAGATAAATAAACAATAAATTGTCTTAAATGAGTGTATGATTGAAGAACAACCTAACAATCCTTTGCTGAAAGGGCAGATTAAAGACTAATTGGTCTAAAATAGAAGCAGAGATACTCTGACCTTTTGAAGGACCAGTCTGTAGGATTCAGAGGCATCTAGCAGCGCAGATTGCGACTAAATGAACACTGTTTGCGTATGTAATTGATGACCTGGGAGTGAGAACAGGCTGTACGCAAAAGGCCCTACAGCCAGTGGTCTGGTTTCTCCATTCTGAGCTACTGTAGAAACATTGTGGAGTCACAGCCGGCGTCTATAAATGAAAACATCTCATTTTAAGGTAACAAAAACACGAGGATTTCTACATTCAGGTGATTATTCACTAATTAACACATACTTATGATTATTATATTCCATTTCTGCTAATAGATCCTCCTCAGTGTTGCACTCCTGACCTTTAATAGTTTACATTAAACTCCAAAAAACGCTGCAACCTGCACTTCCCATAATGCAAACTGGATTCCAGATAACCCTCAGTGATGATATTTCCTATTAAAAGCACAGAAGACATTGCACAATTGAGAGGAAATCTCTTTGTGAAGAGTCAACTGCTGCACCTAGTCACCAGTCAGGTAATACTACATAAGTGGGTAAAATATTACAGGGTTGGACTGAGTAAACATAACAAACAAAAAAAGAGTAATTTTTTTTACCAACTATCATTTGATATTAATAAAATAAGATAAAAATACTTAATAGTTAATTAAGATTCCTATAATTACTATAATAAACTTAAACTACAAAGCATAGTTTCTAATATTCTGCCGTTCTTATGAAAACAATATAATAAAAGTAAAGCAGTAAAGGTAATAAACAATATAATGTAGTCCAGTACAACATCACCTTTAAACTCAATGAAACATATAATTTAATTTACACATTTTATGTCAACGTCACCAGAAACTGAACATTATAAACTCTTGTAAATGTAGACGTTGTGGCAGGAATGTTGCATTATAATAGATTATACAGGTGTACTTTGAATATTAACAGTAGACTATAAGATAATGAATACAGTAGAGTGAATACTGACTATTGGATTGTCACTATGCCACAGTAATCCCATTATTATAGCATTATGTTGATTTATGACTCATGTCCACTCTCTATTGATCACCACATATGCACTCTCAGTCAGTGTCTGGAACAACAACAGGAATATTCTAGTGATTTCATGCTGAAGGTGTGACAGTTTCACACCTATTTTCTAGTCGAGCAAGAGAATAATAAAGGTCTAATAGGTTAACTTAAGGTCTCAGTATGAGTGGGTCTTACCTCCCATGGTGCTGCTGTCACAGCCTCCAGCCCGTCAGTGTTGCTCTGCTCTGCTCCAGGTGGTACTACAGTCCTACAGGTGATAGTGGGGGGGGGGCGGAGCTTTTGACGTGCTCCCGAGCCTGTTGCACGAGACTGTTACGTCACTAATGAGCACGCTGAACTATATAAACTAACTAATAATGGCAAAAACTCCAAAATAAGAATAGGGTTTTTTGAGTATTTTAGCACCAATTTCCTCAATATCATAAACAGACATAAAAGATGAGGAACGGACTGATGACAGCAACAGGTGTTACAGATACTTGATGAACTAATCTCTGTAATCTCAGGTCTTCTCTCGACGGGAGGCTCAACCGGTCCATCTGCCTCCTCCTGCGCCGGGCCAACACCAGCAAATTTCTAAATAAAAGCATACATTCTTTGAGTGGGCGGAGAAGCACGTATCGGCGTGGGGTTTGTGTGTGTGTGTGTGTGTGCTTTAGATACAAACTAAAACTTTTAACTAAAACAAAGTGTAACCCTTTCTTTAAATTTTTGCATTTATTTTTTTACCATGTGAACACATAAAATAAGTTAAAATAACAGAAGACAAACCAGTTGTGTGAGGGTTTAAACTCTTTATTTTTCTCTTCTAATTCATATACAAAAACAGATATTGATTGACTGTGCGGGAATTACATTATCTTACAAAATCAACTAAAATTTTTTTTAAAAAAAGAAGCAAAATTGGCAGAAAAAAAAACACTTAAAAAATTTAAGTCACCTTTTTTTTGTTTTGTTATTCGGAAATCTTTTATAACTTACTGTTGACACAACCCAGTGCAAAAGTCCTTGAGGTAAAAATATAAAAATACAAAAAGTACTTTTTATTTTAATTAAAAGGTGAAAAAATATGTGAGAAACTACCAGCAATGATGTAAGCAATAATCCATGAATCCATGAATTTGACTTGATTCATCAAGTCAAGTTCAATTGTCAATATATTTTCTATTATTACTTGATTCTATGCTGTTTCAGACAAATACAAACACTGTAAACATCAGAAAGCAATGCGATATCTTCAGGACACTCTTCTATCAAGGCTGTATAACTTTAGCTATGAGTCATTTTCACTGGACTAACAGCAGGAAGGTGTTGTGGGTGTGAAGTAGTTGTTGCTATGTCAGACAACCTGGGACAACAACAGAGGTGAAAGCTGAGCAGCTCTTTGCAGTGGATCTGTGTTTTAACGACGACGTCTCCTGCGCTCCCTTCGTACAGCATCACGTCAAATGAGTTACAGTACATGTGGTTCAAACGTGTAGCCGGGTCCACGTTTAAACGGTCCCTGTTTCCATTACAGGCGAAGATCTACCACAAACACTTAACAGGCAGTTTCTTTAGCGAACATTATGTGCTGCTTTCAACAAAATACACACATACTTCTCAACAGACACAGAGTCCCAGACACCAGGTCCACCAGGGCCGATCAAGTCCTGTTCAAATCTTTTCCACATAGTTACCAGGGAAGAGACCTTCCTTTCCGTGAATCCTTCCTGTCCACCAGCCTGATGGATCTGTGGAGACAATGAGCAGAGAAAAAAATGTGTTAACCACTGCAGGACGTTTCAAATCTCTCAGATCAATCGTTTTTTTAATTTATTTACTCTCCATCTCGCTTTCCTTTCATCCACACACCTTCTTTGACGAGGTCGAACACGTCATTGACCTCAAAGCTGATCTCGTCCGTGTCCTGGCCGACGTACTGATATATCGCCCGGCAGCGGGGCCCCTGGGGTCGAGGCTGTGGTTTAGGAGCAGGAGGAGGTCGATGACTGATGCTCCTTTTCCTCTGCTTCCTGTGGCAAAGAGAGACAAAGGAGCTGCTAATGAGAGAGACTCGTAAAGTTTATTTCACAAGACATGGAGAGTTAAACTACAAAGGATTATTTTGGAACAAAACCTCCCATTAAACTATATATTTTATTTTGTTTATTTGACAGTGCGGAGCTACTAAGCTGCACCAGAGTTAACAATGAGCTAATTAAACTGTAGTCTATGGATGGACTTACAAGCTTCGCTCAACAGAGACTGAAGACTTTCTCTCAGCTTTTGTTGCTAAAACTGGGTGGAAACATTGCAAGAGTTTAAAAAAAAAACCTGCACGCGGAAGTCGTGTGCTTGTACATACTGTCCTACCATGTAATGATGCTTCGGGCATCCATTATAAATGTTTTAAAGGCTCTCTCTGTGTTACAAAGTGATCCACTGTATCTCCAGTTTGTTTCACTACAGAGGAGAATAGGTGGAGAGCATTCTTTCAGGTAAGGCATGTCCTTGAAGTAAGGGCCGTATGTCTGTTAGTGGCCCTTCTCTCCTTTCTCGATTGTTAGGTTGCTTGTCAGAATCTCCACCCATACATTTCTGACCTCCAAGTTGAGACGGTCTGACAATGTCTGTCGCTTACAGAAACACAGAAACCAACAATCCAACATGTTTGCCCACTTCAGGCAGAGGCTGTCTCAAAGTGCGCCCCCATATTTAGGGGATTTTTGTAGACAGGCTTTTTGACCTGCCTCAGAGAGTGGCCATTCTGAACAGTTACTAACACGCCTTTGGACGTGTCTGGACGACAATTCCTAAAAACCAGTTTATTTCAAAGCCTTTGCAGAAACTAGTGGATCAGCAGCTAGCACGGAGGTGGCGTCAGGACTTCAATTATCTACAAACAGGTTTGTCCCTCTCACTATGGAATTTCTTCATTCAAGTGTTGAGCCTCACCTTGACATGCCTTAAAACTCAATAAGCTTGTTTGCACTGATTTAAGTGACAAATCAGCGCCACCCACACATGATGTCCCTTCCTTCCCCTTTTATTCATATCTCACAAGGGGGATCTTTCTTACCCTGACATGCCTTGGTCAGGCACATTAAGAAAGTCCAGGTTCCCCTGGTTGTGCTGGTTGTGGGCTGGGACCCGGGGGGCACCCTGGGAGCCCAGTTTCGGCAGGGCCGTGCTGGGTGGCCGGCCCTGTTTTTGCGGGGAGGAATATGTCATATCCGATTGTTGGTTGTGAGGAGCTCGGGAAAACTTGGCTGCTCCATTCTGGTGTGCTGAGGAGAGAGTGAGTGGGATACAAGTAAAGATAAAACTCCAGAAATATCCAGTTTTTAAATTATACAGTGAGTTTAGATAGTATAAGTAGTAGTATTCAGATAGTTTAGTTAAGTAGAAATACATCAAGAAAGAATTACTACAAATAAACTAAAAGTCTGGCACTCAAAATTGTACTAGTACAGTACTGGTGAACTGGACCAAAATGTAGAATAAAAGTACTCTTAATGCAGGCACAATGGCTCAAACCAGTTTCTTGTATAAAACCTTCAAAGTAACTGGTAACTATAACTGTCAAATAAATTTAGTGGTGTGTACAATA